CCGACAAAGGGAGGGGGGGTCGGGTACAAGCTGGTCCTGAAGAATGAGGCTGCTTCTCGAGTGCGACAATTGCTCTTTGTGCTACGAAGTTAGTACATCCTCTCTCACTCTCGTTCAGGAAGGCAGCGAAATGAAGAAGAGTGACCAGTGCTGACAAGCGAATCACAATGTCATTGTGGTCCAACACGATGCGATTCGAAGACGGCCAGCGCTTAGGAGTATTACCCGCATCAGAATGAACCACGTGAAATGCGACCTTGGACAGCGACCCTTACATACTCCATGTGATTCGTCACTAATACCGGACAAATCCTGCACAGGCAACGGAGCTGCAATGAGTCCTGCGCTGTATGAGACATATGGTCACACACAACGGGGGGCGGGCTCCTGGCAGGCATCGGGTAGGTCGCAAGTGCGCAGCTGGGTGAGCTGAATCTGCCCACCTGATGGGCTTGTTGGTGCCTGCGTAGTCTTCTATGCTTCGGGATGAGATGCATTCCTGGACATGCGGGGATTTTGCTCCGTACGATGAAAGTCGCGAGGCCCCTGAAGCAAAGGGCATCGTCACTCTACGTGTTTGCTTCGTGTAAAAGTAGAGGGTGATGGATCGTTGACGCAAGTTTTGGCGGGCTTTGGCAACTCACTTGAAAAAGGGGCGGGTCAATTCCCATACAGCGACCATAGGAATACCCGACATCCAGACTCAAGCACACCGAGACATGAGAGGAAAGAGACTATTACTGAGGTATCTGTCGTACAGAGGACAAGAACAATATTTTTGCTCTAGCTGACATATGCAGGCAGCCGGCGAAACACCATTCTTGGTCGTACTGATCCCGGGTAGCTCGACGGCTTCGAGGCTCGCGGCATCATCAACCCAGACTTCCGGGTAATATCCCGTCGAACCCCCACATTATCTCCTACCCCGCCATTGATCCTCCAGAGAAACTCCGTGATCGCTGGGCTGGGCTCTTAATATAATCAGGCTACTTTATATAAGATGATTATGCCAGAGTCAATTTCACCCAGGATACAAACTCCCAGGATATCGTTCAACTACAGAGCCATCTAGGGAATTCCAAGGGGGCGTGCCAAATCTATTGAGCAATGGCGGTCAACGGCTTTCAGGAGTGGAAGGTGGACAAGCCTTGGCTTGAGCTGAAGTGCGCTCTCGGCGAGGGACCGTTCTATGAGAAAGAGACCAACACGCTGCGTCTGGTCGACATCAAGAAGAAGCAGATCCTCACCGTGTCTCTGGATGACAGCGGAGACGGCTCCTCCTTAAAGACGATACAGCTGGACGTCTGCCCAACCGTCACGGCCGACATCGAGGGAGTGGACCCCCAGGAGCGCATCCTGATCGGTGTCAAACATGGTCTTGCGGTATTGGATCGTCAGAAGGGAACATATGAGCTGCTGGCCCCATTCAACACGCCGGAGCACAATGAGCGTATACGAGCCAACGACGGGGCGGCAGATCCCAACGGCAAGTTCTGGCTGGGGACTATGACGGATTTTGGGCAGGGACCAAATCAACCTGAAGGTATGTCCATGTATGAAGTCATGCCGGTGACTGCTCCTTGTAGTCTCGATGACCTTTTGTTTTCTCCCTTTCGCCCCCAAAGAACTTCTTCCCCAGAGTGTGTTTGGCTCACACCCCTTAACCCCCCCCCTTTTTTTTTCTCTATAACGCTGACGCTGACGGCTTCTTTCCCATGCGCGGATATAGGCTTCCTTGCACGCTTTGATTCGTCCAAGTCCAAAGAGGAGGTCTTGAAGGACCTGGTCATCCCCAATGGCATCGGCTGGTCACCGGACAACAAGACCATGTACTTTACGCACTCCCAGACGCGCGAGGTCTTCGCCTTTGACTACGCGCCAGAGACGGGGGCCGTGAGCAACCAGCGGCTGTGGTATCGCCACGAGGGGCCGGGCGAGCCCGACGGGTTCCGCGTCGACGTGGAGGGCAATGTATGGCACGCCGTGTGGGGTGAGGGAGCGGTGCTCAAGATCGACCCCCAGGGCAGGGTTATCGGGAGGATCGCGCTGCCGACGAGGCACATTACCTGTGTGCAGTTTGTGGGGACGGAGCTGCTCATCACGTCGGCGGCGGACGAGGAGGCGGATGCGGACGAGACGAGTAGGCGGTTTGGGGGCGATTTATTCAGAGTCGATGTGGGGACTCGAGGGTTGGAGTTGTTTAAGTTTAGGTTGTGAGTCTGATGGTGAGGGCTGATGCCTTGTTGGGCTCCGTATGAGGCCTGAAAGCGCGACGACATAGCTCAACATGGCAGGGCGAGAACGAGACCTCTGGCTGAGCAAGAGGCTTTCAGGGTCACCAAGACCTGATGAGCTTCTAGCAATGCATAGGCGTACTTTCTGCACCAAAAGTGCCTGACCTATGTAGGTCTCTTTCACATGTGACTGATGGCGGTTGGACAAGATATCTGATGCGCAGGGGACGGGAAAGGTGAGAACAAGGAAAAGGGTATGGTGTAATATGGAGTAAGCTAGATGATGTGTTCCGGCCTGGCCCCCCCTACTGTACTACGCCAACTACATATGCAGTTGTCAGGTAGGGCCATGCTGCAGAGGACGGTTGATATGGAACTCGTGTGTTGGCAGCGGAATGTATGTCCGAAGAGGCCTGATAGTTTGACATCGAGGGTTTGGAGGACTATTATACGAGCTTGTTTGTAGGTTGCCTTGAAGCTATCTCCGAGAGAGAGAGAAAGAAAAATGAGACTATACTTCTGCGTGTGGATGGGATTGAAGTATGCGAGCGAGCGCTGTATAAAGGGGGCGATCAGTCATTCCAAGTTTAGAGGACGTTCAAGAACGTCGTTATAGTAGACTTCGGTTGGTCTTTGGGTTTCCTGCAGTGACCGTCTTCATCAACGGTCTTGATGTCCTTGCAACGGCAGACGTGATGCAGTAGAATGTAACTCAACCTAATACTCGGTCTGATTACCTACGCTGTATGTACTCTCTCCGCGCTTATCGTTTATGATAGGTCAAGTATGGACAAACAGCTACCGTTGCCTTCATGCGGATCGATCTCGTGGACTTCTGCTCACATGGCTTTGACCTGCTTTCCTTTGGATCCATCTAACTAACCCAAGCTACATATTATCGTATGAGAGATCTACCAAGACTACTCGTATAGCAACGAAAGAGATACCCATCCAAGCCATCACAATCCCCCTTGTACATGTCAAATTACCTAGGAAGGTAGCAAGAGACTCGCATGTACAAGAGGTAGTCCTGTCAGATGTACATGTACCCGCACCTCGGAGGAAAACACACAGACACACCTCGTCCGCATCAATGAAAACGCGAATTGTTGGCGGCTCACCGCCGCTACGCACCTGCTTGGCTCAATGTACAGTACATACATGATACATAGGTAGTACTACATCCAGCCGCGCGCCTTTGGAGACTTCTTTCTATGTGTGTGTGAGAGAGATAGAGAGAGAGAGAGCGTGAGAAAAGGAAACGGAACGTGAACCCTGGTTTGAGTCTCACCGCCTGGGTGGTTGCGACCACGGCCCCGGTCTCCGGAATCCCGGCCCCGCATGCTCGGGAAGGGGGGGGAGGAAACGACAGTTGCTATGGTCTCGTTTTCGAGTTAACCTATGCCTGGGGCTGTGATGGCAAAGGTAATAGTAAGGTAAAGGTTATTACATACTACCTAGCTGTTCGGGAGCTGGCATATGTATGTATCGTATTTGAGATACTCTTGCTCCATGAGGAAACAGGCAGGCAGATGGGAAAGGTGTCGAGTCAGGGCAATTAGAAAGAAGAACAATGGAACAAAGTGGGAACATACCCAGCATGTCTCCACGACAGGGGTAATGTTGGGGGCACGAAAAAAAAAAAACAAGATGAGCAACGAGTGAAAAAGCAAGATACTAATGCCTACCTATCTACCTAAGGTAGGTATACTGGCCGACAATACGGCCCCCCAAGGAGAAAAAGAAAGGTAATAAAGCAGAAGCGAACACTTGTCACCCTTCCAACAGAGCATGCGGGCTTCGGAAGGGATGTCTCCCAGGCGCAGGAACTGATAGGAAGGTAGTAGTAGATACTAGATACAGACCTACATACAGAGCAATGGTTCCCGGGCCAAAGAAGAAGGACAGGGGGGGCGCGCAAAGGGTCGAAAAACGTGCGCGCTATCGTTATGCATACGATACAGGGACTAAAGCAAGTGCGTGCTGCAGGCATCTCGATCTGGTTATCAGGGAAGTCTGGGCGGCGGGCGTCGGTGCAAGGGGGGGGGGGGGGGGGGGGTTGCGAGAGAGAGAGAGAGAAAGAGAGAGAGAGAAAGAGAGTGAGAGACTGAGAGTGAGAGACTGAGAGCGAGAGAGAAAAAGGCGTGGACAGGGGGGGGAGGGAGACAACGAAGCTCGGCTAGCATTGATGCGGTCAAGAGTGGTGATGCTTGTCCAAGTATTATCGTGTAGGTGTGTGAACGCCCATTGGCCCTCATCCGCCTTTGTTTGTATCTGGTATTACATACTAGTAGTACAACTAGTCTGTCAAGTATCATCATCCGGAGAAGAAATACAAGACAAGACAAGACAAGACAAGGGGGAGAGAAGATGGCTTCAGCCTCGTCGGGTCGTGTGTAAGTCAAGCTGGTCCTCGGACATGGGGGCCTGTATGTTCTGTCACCGGATGTCTCAACATGGACGACAGCTGAGGTGTACAAGATGCCCACACTCTCTCATGATAATGGCTCACTTTTGACGCCCCTCCGCTATCGCTCCCTCTTCTCTTTGGCGTTCATTCTCGCGTTCCTCTTCCTTCGTAGGAGACATGCATTCATTGACGAGTGGAAATACTACATAGTAATGCTAGCACGAGTAGGTAGGTAGGTAGGTATGTATCAAGGACCTGTGTAGTAGCTGCCCCGGATGACTTTTTGCCGCCTCCTTCACCGCCTTCTCCCAGACTCGTTTTTTTTTTCTCCGATATCCACCAAAGATCCCTGTCCATCAAAGACGAACGGAAACGATGCAGCAGAACCAGGGTAAAGGGGACCCCAACCTCTCCAGGCCAAACCGCCTTCCTACTTGTACTCGTACAGCCCTTACTTGGCACGGGACTCGGAGCAGTGGCCATTGCCTCGCTGGCTGTGCGCTTGCTTGCTTGCTTGCTTGTTTGGTTCTTCCTGCGGCTGAGCTTACCGAACACATCAGCGTGAGGATGGAGGTCCAGGAGCAGAGACTGAGAGAGTGAAGCAGAAGAAGAAGAAGAAGAAGAAGAAGAGGAGCGATGGAACGAGGGCAACAAGATGCTGACCCGAGACAGACGCAGGGCGTCCTGTACGAACTTTGTCGCGCAGCAAACCCCGTTCCGGATGCTGCTCAACGAGCATATCAGAATGCTACGATACCTTCGAGTGCTACTCTACCTACGTGTACATGCCTTCTGCTTTACTTGTACCGGCCAAGGCAAGGCCGCGAAGCCTCGACGAGTGGCCATGGAACAAGTACTCCAGGTGCAGACACCTACTGTGATACCGTACAGTACCCGCGCAGCTGGCCTGCGTCGAGATCCACAGCAAGCAGCATCAAACGGGCCTCGCTGCTGTTGCTACCGAGACCCTCTTGGCGTGCCATGTACAGTATTCCCTCACGCCCATCATCGTCATCGTCACCGTCCGCCGCCGCCGTCGTCGTCAAGCGAGGAGCGAAGCCCGGCCTGCTCGGACGAGTCACACGTACAGCAGAGCTGCGTCCTGACAACCACCCCCACAGGCGCGAAAGCACGATGCCGGTGACGAATAATCGACGGTTCTTCCTCATCGGACTTCCGCTCGTCTCTTCAGCAAGCCGGCCGCGGCTAGAGCAGCACAGGAGACGGCCCAATTGCCCCCAAGGACGGTCCCAGAATGCTCGACACTTGGATCCATCCATGCCGCGCTGAGCGGCATGCCCGTGTCTGCTGCCTCCTCCCTCCCCTCCTCCACCATCCTGAGTGGGCTCTGGCCACATCGCGGATGGCAACTCCGTCCTGTCAAGCTCTGCCACCTCAGACCTTGGTCAAAGCCTTGCGTGTGTGCTGTCACCTCGACTGCTACTCGCTACTAGCAGCAGCACTATCAGCTCCCCACACAGCCGAACCCTGCTGATCCTGCGAGGCACACGAATGGACCCGACGTGCTGGCAACCTGAAAAGGGCTGTCCCGCTGTTGGGCTGACATGGGTGTGTTGGCATAGCTGACCAGGCCCTCTCTCTCTCCCCCCCCCTAACCGACCTGCCATCGCCCTCGTCTATCCAAGTCGGTGAGGTCTGTGAGACAGGAGCCTCAAGTCCTCACGATGGCCTCATTGAGGTGTTTCCGTCAATCTATGTACATGCCCAGCGTCGGTTGCTGTTTTAGGTACGAGCACATGTATAGATCACGACTGACAGCCTTGGCCGGTTTCGATCGCCCACCGCTCCGTGAAGTCACTCCTGGCAACCGTCGTAGGTGAGAGCGCAGGCTCCCCAGAATAGTGCATTGCCGTTGAATGTCGCTTTTCTTTTCTGCGACCTGCCAGCTTTCTGCTTCCTCTGCATTTGTGCGAGCATGAGGATGACTTCCCTCGCCAAAAGGCCATGCCCCTTCTCGCAGACCGCCCCTTTCGGTGTTCCAGCTTCGATCCACACAGATGGGGACTCTTTTTCCTTTTTGCAAGTTGTCGCCCTTCAATCGCTGCAAAACGGCTTTTCGAAAACAAACGCGGAGGACTACCACTACTGCACAGGAGCATGACACTGCCACCAAAGTACGAAGTGATGATACGGGCACTGGCTAACTTTGTACAGGCTTTCCAACTTGTTGCATGACTGGCTCTATGCCGACCTCCATCGATATACACCAAACAACTCACAGGAAGAAGCACATCGCTTCCCCCGGGTTCGAGCTACGGCCCTGCCTACGCACAACCTAAACCGTCCTTGTCGCAAGCGGCAGGAGAATGCTCCAAGATGGCCTCACTCTGCCGTCCTTTCCCACGTGCTACGGTTAGAGTAGCATCGCCAGCGGACTCGACGGCACCATTGTGTCGTCAGTCTTCTCTCTCTCTCTCTCTCTGAGCTTTTGTTTCCTACCTGCCAGCGTATGGGTGGCCCCCTCCCCTTTCGAACAAGGTACATTACATGCGTTGTGGATATCCCGATGTGTGGTCCAGCGTCTCCCGTCACATAGCGGGCAGATGATACATGTAGGATGATGCCATAGTCTGCCGTCTTTGGCAGGCAGGCAGGCAAGCAAGCCTGTGTGACCCTTTTGGCGAGAGCGCCCGTGACTGACTCCCTAAATCTCGAACAAGACACCAGCGGTAGAAGAAAAGCAATGATACCTGGTAGCATGCAAACTGCACCAATGGCCTGCTTTTCCTTTTTTTCTGCCCGCTTCCTCTTGGCACGCAAAGCCACGCTGGGAATAGCATTTGTCCATCTTCCCATGCCTGCAGTAGCACTAGCGACGTTTCTCCCCAAAAGAGCGCGTACGAAAGGTCCTCCTGTTGACTGTGCTCGTACATTACTCGTTCGTAGCTAGGCCGGTTCAACGGAGGAACTCGTCAACAACGTGCCGTCTTGACATGACTCCTCCCCTCCCCCCCTGGAAGGCCTCATTGGGCGTCGCGATCGCCGTTGTCTTTGGGAGTTAGTGCGTCCTTTTCAAACCACTCCCTCCTCCCCCAGTAACACGCACGGCAGTGGTAGTAGTAGTAGTAGCAGTAGCAGTAGCAGTAGTAGCAGTAGTAGTACAGTAATAGTAGATCGCTTGAGAAGGATCATCCTGCTTTGCCGGCATCTGCCTGGCCTGCCTGCCTGACCGCAGAAAGAGGGTCTCGACAAGATCTTGACAGGCGCGTTGGCACAAAAAAGAAAAAAAACAAAGGAGGGGGGGGGGGGGGGGGGGGGTAAAATTGGGAGGGGTTTTCACTTCCTACTTTTCCGTCTCTCCATTGGCCTTTGTGATGCGCTCCCGTCGTCTCGTATTAGAGGCGTGTTGTTTGAGAGAGGGTTACTGAGGTAGTAGTAAGAGGAGGAGTGAGTTACGGATCATACCGGGGCAACGAAAGGATGTGTATGCTCTTGAGCCTCTTTCACCCCCTTCTTCGTATCCTGATGCGTTTATGTCACATGCTCGTGCAAGAACGACAGAGAAACATGTCGAGCTCTGCCATCCTCGCCGTGGATGAATTGATAAAGTAAGAAGTAAACAGAAAATACCAAGGTATCAGGGGGGAAACGAAGAAGAAGGAGACAGACAGCATGAAAAAGGAGGAGGGGGAAGGTAAGTTTCTGGAGAGGAGTGTATAAACAAAGGGGAGTGAAGCAGTACCTTGCAAAAGTGAATAGACAAGTTGCTAAGAGAATAAGTTAAAAAGCAAAGAAGAAGAAGAAAGCAATAGTAAAGAGAATGAAAGCAATCCCGAGCAAAGAAACCAGCCGTCTGTGACAACTTTAACGCTCAGCATACTTTACACTGGGATCTTTAGAATCCCCCTTCCGAGATGGTCTATTGAGTTGTTATTCTTGTAGCCGTCTGCTGCCCCCCAGCTCGCCTTGACACTTCGTCTGGCACTCCCTTGACATGTACATGCTTTTGAGAACCCCTCTTATTAGTCTTTCAAAACAGAAGATTTGTGTTGTTATCGACACGATTGTCGGTAAACCTGTAGCGTAATGGTGCAATTGGATACACTCCTGGCTGTTGCATAGACGAAATTGTTGAAGTAGGACACAATCAGCTCCAGAACTTACAATAGCCATTTCGACCTGCTGATGGCACTCTTTCGATAATCATTCCAGTGAATTACTACCTAGCTCCTACTCGACACTGCCTCTTAGCAATCGCCTAGACTTCCAAAACGCACAACGCGTCTTGACCCCCTTAGAAAATACTCTACTATGATGCCCTTCAGACACTACATCACCACCGAGAACTGTATCTCAGTGTCCAATATGGCGAGCCCGCGAGCTGCTCGTTGTTACCATCCCACAAAGGTAGGCTAATCGTCTTTCAAGTCTGTGTTGAGAACCAAATCCTCCCTGAATCTTCTGTGCACGATGATGGTCAAGCCCTCGATCCCGTCATCATCGTATCTGTGCCGCTGTGAATCTTCTTCTGTAACGCGCTGGTTTTCTTGCTGTTCCAAAGTCTCGTCAAGTTCGACTTTCAGCTTGTCAAAGGCAGAACTGAGCCCCAAATACCGGGTGCGCCACTCGCAAACGTGATGGCTTGTGGGCAGCTCGGAGTCGCCACCAGTAGTATCTGATGCCATCTTGTTTTCATTGTCAATCATGGAGCCGGCAAGAGGCTTGTCATTGGTAGCTGCTGCTGGGAACTGTCGCAAACGCCGTTCAAAATCCGGCGACGATACTGTATCATCCTTTCTCGGGGAGCCACTCCTCGATCCCGGCGTGTCGTTGAGCTTCCTCAATTGTTGCTTCCATGTCGAGGGATCAGATGACTCAATCGTTTGCTGGGGGCTTTTCCCTCTGCTCGTAGCCCTGAATGAGCCTCGGGAACCAAGTGTCTTTCCACCGCTCCTGTCCCCTGTTTCTGGAGTTGGATTATTTGCTCTTCTCACAGGTGAGCCCCTCTCCGGCGGTGGTTGCACCTGCGGCTGCTGTTCCCTAGAGTTTCTCGTCTGCTCATCAAGCTTGAAATGTCCCTGGGGCTGTGGCATATCGTCGTCAGTTCCCGATGGCGATATATGGCGTGAAGTTGCTGGAGTCCTCCAGACAACCTCGCCCGGTGCTGATGTCGATGATCTGCTCACCTCGCTCTCAAGCTCCTTTCCCTCCAGGGTCAATCTTGGGATGTTCTGGTGGCCACATTCGGCTGACTGAGGCACATTGTATCGCTGAGGCGTGCCAGACCGTTCCGAACCAGTCCAGAAGGTATCGTCTTCCGTCACCTGCTGAGCATGTGCAGTAGGTCCGCTGGCAGGGCCAGGCATTCTCTGCCGCGTCGCCTTGTCATGCCAGGTTCCACGAGTCTTTGAGCGAGAAGACGGCGCGGCTGTATTTCAATCAGCATCATCAAGCTTTTGAAAACAATTGTCTTCCGACCATAGTGTAGCCGATGATACTTACTGGCTCTCTTCTCCGACAGAACCTCACGCTCTAGCTTTTGCATCGGTTCTGCAGTTGTATACCCTGAAGAATTTGAAGAAGCCAACATAGCCCGTTCATTAGCTTCGAGTCTCCTGTGCGCGGGGTTGAATGAATCTTTTGACTTGCTCTTGTACGTTGCACCATCGCCTGTATCGTTCTGAGTAATTGGTTGTTGGCCCGACTGAGACTGTCGAGCAATGAAGCAGATACTGTGCCTTGAGCGATCATTATTGACATAGCAACTCGGGCAACTGTAGTGCTGCTCAGAGTTGATTATTTCGCTGTGGGATTTCTCCAGACGCTGTCGGCGTTCATGGCGAAGTTGTTCATGTCCTTGTCGTTCCGCCTCAGCGTGACTACATCCGCTTCCTCTGTGATAACTCGCTACAGCATCACTGCTCTTTGAATGAGAGAGGCGTTGTATCGCTACGCAAATCAATCAGCTCCGCACCGTAGAATGTCGCTGCAGGTGACTTACCCCGGGCTCTATCAAGCACAGGCTCCGATAGATTGGCAGCACTCTGGCTGTGGGTGATACCTCGGCCCCATGCTTCCTGTTTCGATATCTTCTCGCCTGACCCGCGCTCTCGTTGAGCTTGAGCATTCGTAGAGAGGCTGCTCACCAGCTCCGTCCTGCACTTGACGCAAAACTCATGCCCGCACCTCGCACACCGGGCTCGTGTATGTAGATATCCCCCACAGGAATGGCATACCTGGACGCTCTTCATCCCTGCCGCCTGTTGTCGCTCGCTTTCCCTCGAAAGCCAACCATCTGGCCGTGAGACTCCATACATGTCAAACATATCCAACGCGTCTTGCTGTTCCTTTTTGGAGCTGTCGAGGACCTCATGTACCGTTTGGAAAGGCGGCAACGATGCTCGAAGGTTGGCTCGAGAGCGCATGGGAGACTTGAAGCCCGACCTTGCCTCGTCCGCGCGATTGACAACAGACTCGTTGGACTTTTGCGAGTTTCGGAACCTGTCCGGGCCCCGAGTCGGACTATGTAAGGCCACAGAGTTGCTCGATTTGGAGACTCTCAAGCTTGGCTTCACATTGAACTTGTGGGAACTCGTTGCCGCCACCTCCCAGGCAACCCCATTGTCATCGACATGATCGTCGTAAATCCTCAATCCTGGATACGAATGCCCGACCGGAGGCGAAGCAGACACTTCAAGCCGTGTGCGTTGGCAGGCTGGACTGCAATAGGTCACGTCCTCACGCGCATCCTTAACGTACGGCAAGCTCTGAGCCTTGAGGTTGGTGTTGCTCGTCTTGACATTGAGCTCCCGTATGCGTGACACGACGTAGCCAGAGCGGACAAAGTCTATATCGTCAGGCGGGCCGTCTAGGAACATGGCGTCCTTGATAGGAGTCGTAGGGTCGTTAATCTCAGGATAATCCATGATACTAAATGAATAAGCAACAATGATGAGAGCCCGAAGAATGCGATAGCTGGTGTCCTCAAGAAGTGTGAAGCAAGAGAGAAGAAAACAAACCGGGAATTTGGGGGAGATGGGGATACAAGAGCCAGAGATAGAAAGAGTAAGTTGTGAAAGGGCAAGATGGCAGGAGAAACCACGGTCAAAAGGTAAGGGCTCTCCTACAGATGAAGAAGGCGGAGAGGAGCGTGATCTCATTTCATCACCTAAGGTACCCGTAGGTTGAGCCGTGATACTGCTACTACGTGGAAAGTGCTCTTGCAGGTGTAGTGCGCACTCCCAGGAGTTGCAAAATACAGCAAATGGTCTACTTTCTCGTTCTTCATAGGTAATGTATGACAGTATGGCAGCGTAGGTAGTCAATTGTTTCGGCTCTGCGCTAAGACAAGTAGAAAAAGTTGTACAGCGGTTTATATTTCTACATTCGTTTATTTGACAAGGGTGGCAAGGGTCTCGAGAATCTGCGGATAGAAGGTCAATACTTGCTTGTCCGCGAGCTTGGCAGACTCTTGTACGCACCTCCAGCTCAATCTTGGCCTCAGCGATGTCCTGCTCGCTTCCATTGCCGTTGGCAACCTTCTGAGCCTCGGCAATACCAGCGCGGATGGCATCGGCGCTGAAGTCCTCCAGGGGGTAGGCCTCGGGGGAGTTGATGCTCAGGACGGAGTTGGGCTGAACGGTAGCAAAGCCGCCAGACACTGCACGGGGCGCATTAGTCCTATGTCATGTCGTCCAATGTAGAGTCGCAGGACTCGGAGGGGCTATATCACGTACGGAAGAACTGCTTGGCGGGGCCGTTCTCCTCAACGACCTCGACCAGGCCGGGCTTGAGCTGCTCAATCGAAGGGACGTGGTTGGCGAGGACACCCATCTCACCGGACTCTGCGGGGATGTTGACCTGGACGACGTCCTGGGACTTGTAGATGGACTGCGAAGCATTGCGGCAATTAGCACCGAGAACGTCCGTCGACCGTCGCAATTCCTCCACCGGCTCGATTCGGGTCGCATGTTCGGTACAGGTCGATGTCTCGGGGCGCAGAAAATCATACCTGGTGAGGCAGAGCCAAGCTCAGCTTGATCTATAGAAAATTTCAGTCAGCGATTTATAAACCTCGAGATCGAACATTGCAGCATCCGAAGCAGCCTCACCTTGTCGGGGACGGCCTCAGCGTATCCTCTCCGCTGGATGGCCATTCGCATGGCTGTAGGGCGAGCTCGGAGAGCCACACGGGCAACACGGAGGGAGTTCATGGTGACTGTGAGGAACGATGTCGTCGTTGCTTGTGGTGAGCTCAATTGAGGTCGCTGGCACGAATCTTTGCCGGACTTGCAGTCGTTAATTCGGCTAGCGGGAAAACCGCCCGCCGTAGGTCTCGTGACTTGGCACGTGACCCTCCTTCTTCACATAGCATTAGGCGACGTTGAAATGGGAGCTCTTGAGAAGTCAATCCTCTCGCTGGACTCAGCAGAGACCACGGAATCGGCGACCATCTTGCTATTTGTTTGAAGACGCAGATGCCTTGGATTGCATGGTTGACAACTGCTCAGGCGCGATGCTAAGTTTGAGCTTGTGGAAAGAAGCTTGGGGAAAGATGTAGCGTCACTGCCTCCCACAACCATCAGCCGCAAAACATCGATAAACCTGCCTCAACGACGATAACTCTTCATTTTCGTCCCGCAAGCTAATCAACCTCCAGGGTGGCATCATACAAGATTGTCCTACAGGACTCCAGTGCTATAATACTAGGTATCGCCGAGGGACACGCCAGCGAAAGAGAAGTCGAGACCTCTGCCTTCGCGATGACGTTATAATAAAACCCTATGCTTCATACGAAGTAGCTGGGTTGAAACGGAATACGAGGACATCCTGACGGGGACCTATTGGGCAGCCAGCGTGAGAATGTCCAGCTGGGGCTTCCTATACGAAACATGGCTCTGCACCGGCTTGCCGGCTCTCAGACTATGCGCAACTTCATGCGACATCCTTCTCATGCATCACTGATAAGTCGAGACGGAAGAAGATCACCAATGATGCAGATGAGCAACCAAATGAGATACCACGACGCCGAGAAAACCGAATGCTGGACATGTGATAAAAAGCACACCAACTCCGTTGGATCGGTTGTCGGACGTCGATGGTAGGAACGTTGCCGTCGGCCAGACCTCGCTCCTTGAATCATCAGCTCATGCCCTTGGGCATCCGATAATGACCTTCATCAAATTTCTGGTCCAGTCAAATCAATGCTATGCCATCCCGAACACGCGGGGACTTGCAGTCTGTAGGGTGCCACGGACGCCTGTGAACGGCCTAGACTGCCTACTTCCGCCTTGTGGCTTCCAGTTGGCAGTGTCTAGAAGACATACCGTCCAACCCTCCCGACTCTCATACGCGGCTTCACTGGGTATTATCGGAAGGGGTGTATGGCGTCTCGGGTGGCTTTACAGTTTGGACCTTTCCCGCCTAAAGTCTCTCCCTCGACTCCGTTATCGCTCTGCTGTGTCTCTGCTGCGTCTCTGCTGCGGTGTCACCATGAGTGCTCACAGCCTGTGCAACTGCGCGATATGTCAACGGTCGTGTGAGGTTACATGATTCACAAGTGCCAAGAAAAGGGTGTATTCGCGTCGAGTTGCCATTGCTCGATATTGGAGGGACGAAGGGTCGAGACTGGGACAATGTCTCGCAGAGGGAAAGCAGAGTCTGATACAGCCAAGAGTACTACAACAGCAAGTACGGGTACGACTAGTACATACTACTACCAGCCGTGCTCTACCAAGTCGAATACGGGCCCCTTTTCTTGATACGAGAGAGTCTTGTTGATCTCAGCACGAAGGCAGTCCGATGATCGAGGTCTCATGCGTGTGAATGGAGACGAGCTGAGTGCCGCCATGGGGTACAGCAGCCTCACCTTGAATGTGGACCGCGAAGGAGAAAAGGAAAATAACCCAGGCAGCATCATCTCGCCGACAAAAACGAGATTCCCCGACAAGCGCGCGCAGTGCGCCAATTTCGTGTCCTTTGCACGCTTGTTTGTTTTCTCATCCCGCGAACTTTTTTTTTTTCCTTTCCTGCTTCTCGTAATACTCCAACAGAACCCGCTCAACCCGCTAGAGGCCGGTCAGTTCGCTCGGTGGGCTGGCAAGCTGGCTCTCACCCCTTCCCCCATCGGAATCGGAGCGATGGTTTTACTAGCGAAAGCGCGAAAGGGAAAAGAAATTTTTTGGAACAATTTTCAGCGGAAAGAAGAGGTCGTCACACCGAGCTAGCGGTTGGCTTGTGAGGCTAGAGAGAAAAAAGAGAGGCCATCTACACCAACACTGTGTACTTGGACTTACTATGTCTGCCCCCTTGGGTAGAAGAAGCAAGGAAGCATCAAAAGACCCGACAACAGGCGAGGCGGCTAATACTGGCGTCCGAGGTCGATGGTCCAGGCCGTCAACAAAATTTTTGCAGAGCTTGAAGCCAAGTTGGAGCAATCGATCGAGAAACCTTTGTCCCCATCCTAGCTTCATCGAGTGGCTCTAGGAGAATCTATGCTGCCCTTGGCTTGTCAAAAGCTTGTCTCAGTTGAGGTTTGCTATGAGCCCGGCCAATCGTCGAGGGGCAATTGACAACATGCGGTTCAACAGATTTACACGCCTTGACGGAACCTGTGTAAGACGGTGGTTCTCGTGTCTGAATCATGACCAGTCGAGGCCGTCCTATTTTAAGCTTACACGCAATGAGACGTTGTCTCTCTTCTACTTGGCAGGTTGACTGGAAAATGAGTGTCTCAGAATTGCTCTGATGTCTCTCTAGAATAACCTTAAAGGTTGTCTTGGCAGCAATCTCGCGATGGCTTGCCCTACGCGATAACCTCGCATGCGCTGTCTCTCCTTTATTCCATAGCACAAAGCAAGTGAGACATCAGACTGCATCTTTCGCAACTACGAACCGTGCTGCATACCGAGTACTACGACGACATGTAACCAGTCGACAACAGCCAAACGGCCAGGTTGTAGGCGTCAGTACGGCGGACGGAGCAATTTGACCGTATCGAACTCGCGTCGAAGCCTTCATCCAACAACACTCCCCTTTCATCAAGGAGAGAGGTTTCCGTTCAAGGAACTGCATTGGTGCTTGTCCACGGTTCACGGAGCAACCATTGTTCCCAGGAATACCTACAACAGACTCACCGACCGTGTAATTCTTGGACTACGGGGTACAGTAGTATGTGTGATATTATTACGGAGGCACAGCTCCGCCATCATTTTGGACGGAATAGACAGACGAATGGAGTTGCGGCAAAAGGCGAAGGCAAGCATTGGATGGTCAGTTTTGGTTTGGACTCCGTATTATCATGTGCGGCGACCGAAAATGGCTGCTGAGAGTCAGCTCCGGCAGCTTTCCAGGGTTCATGCGACATGCCATTGGATCATGCGCGGGCCATGAAGTCTCACCGCTTCTACAAGGCGGCCCTCCATGGGCTTTGGGTGATTTGAGGCTTTTCTGGTGATGCCTGAGGCTAAAAGGCATTGCATTGCAGTGCGCGCGTTTGAGATGGATCGCATGCGTTCTGGCCGACGTTGACCCGCGAGCCATTTCCCCCGTATGCCTGTGACTGGCTGGCTTGTGATTTGAGGCTGTTATAGAGAGGGATCAAGAGAGAGAGGGGTGAAGAGGAGACGAGAGGAGGCCCTTGCTCGACTTCATGCTGCATTGTCCCTCCATCACTGGGAGCCTCTTCCATTGGCTGCAGGTACTCGAAAGGGGGCGTAACAGCGCTGTGTTACGGGGGGTATTATCATGTGCATTGCATGCCACCATGTATCGTAATATAATATCGCGAGACTCTGGGAGACTCTGGGATCGAGATACGACGGACGCTTTGGGAAGGCCTCGCAGCATCAGGCATGTAACACGGAGCAAAGGGTCGCTTGCTGCCAGTCATAGCCGACGTCGAAAGACTGCTGCTGCTGCGCAGCATGCACGGGCACCTGCGGCCGAACGGCCAAACAGTTTTCAAAAAGAGGTGGCATCACTTTCATTTCCTGCAGCGTGCTGTACATGCAGCGCGTGCTTGTGTGCGCTTCTACAGGCGACGGGTCATGTTTTGGGCTTCCAGGCTTGTTGACGGGCTGTGTGTAGCCTGACACGGCAGAGCCCCAGCCCAGCAGTGCGGCATTCTCCTGTAATAGTAGCCCGTGTCCCCCTTTGATGCGCGGCTTGGGGTCCATTCACACATCGCCTCCAGCAAAGCACCGCAGCAGCGCGCAAACGCAGAGAGACGACGGCGACGACGACGATGCGGGGTTTGTGCAGCCCATTGGAGCCGTGGGGTATCATCATTCTTGAACCAACCTTAGCGTCTGTCGTGTGCCTTTGCTTGGGTTCGACTCGTCGTTTTTTTTTTTCGCGACAAAACGTCTGCATAGGTATGAGGGGGTCAGAGCGAACCGCGCAAAGCGACGTGGTAATCTCACAAGTACGACTACGAGTATGGGGGCAGCTTCTGGCCGTGTCGGGCTCGACGCCTATTCTGGCGTAGAGCTGGGCTGGTTTCAACGCTGGCTGTCCATCTCTTCTTGTCTCCCACTTTGGGGGGCGGCTGGCTGGCTGGCTGCTGACCCCGAACGGCCGCCGATGACGATGCCATGGATGAATGGGAAAAGCTTCTTGTCCACCCAACCACGACCCCCCCGCCGGCAACGGCTTTTCTGGCTTCTTCTCGAGTTTCGGCATCATCGCTGTTCGTTCGTTCGTTTGTGGCGACAGTTGGGCTTACAATACGCGTACCTACGTTGCTTGCTCGCTTGTCTCTTGGGACATGCGGTTTCGGTTTCGGTAATGGCTTACCCGTCTGTTCCCCCCCTCTCTCCCATACTGTATGTATGTATGACGAATCTGTCCACATTTGGAGCACGAAAGGCATGGGAAAGACGCCTTCTTGGCCCTCCTCTATTCCAAGGCCTCCTGCCGATCTGAGGGTGCCAAAAGAAAAAAAAGGGCGGATGTGGCGGCAGATCGCAGCTCTCGGAAGGGATCAGCTGCATGCTCCGGCTCCGACGGGAATTCACACCTACCTGGCTTGCCAAGCTTGCCATTTATTCATGTCCTGTTTATTCCCCTCCCCTTCTTCCATGATGTCGACATGTCTTCTTCTGGAGACGCCGAGGGGGATTGCAGGTACGAGAGTAGGTAGGTACGAACTGGATTTGCGCCCTGGGGTGTCATCCCCCATGTTCAATATTGGCTCGCATGTCAGTCAACTTGC